CCAGAAGTTTTCTTGTCTTTCTTTCCTCCGTGACTTCTCCTTAAGAGAAGGTACAGCTGATTCCACCAGGGCTCTGTTTAATTATCTGAACCACTTTTACAACTAGCAGAAAGAACTTTAGCTGTTTGTGGGGGAGATGAACAAAAGTCTGATTTGAAGTGCTGTTTTTTTTTTTTTTAACCTGGGAATTCTGAAACCTGCCGCATGATCTTAGTCCCCATGATAAGAAACATGGGGACTTAGTCCTTCCTGTAGGACCAGAGATATCTCCCCATAGGCTTCTGACACTGGTTTGTCCAATCAGATTCACTCTCTACTTTTGTGGGTGGGTGGCATGTGTAAGGTAAAAGGGGGAGTTAATATTGTTGAGCACTTACCAAGTGTTGGGCAGTGTTCTATGCACTTTACACATTTCCTTACACATTTAGTTACATTTTGATTTTACACATTTCAGTCTTTTAACAAACTCTGCCAAATAGGCATGCTGTTGTCTATATTTTACAGATGAGCTGCTAAGGTTCAAACAGGTTAAGTAACTCTCCATGGGAAATAAGTGGCAGAGCTGGGATTAAAATGTGTCTAGCTCTAGAATGCATGCCCTTCCTTCTACAGACAGCTTTTAGGTTAATTGATATTTTAAGTGACATTTTAGAGGATTGTAAACCTTAGGGAAATATATTAAACATGTCTAAAGTAATTTGCCAAAAGGTGTAACTCAAGATGGATCTGAGCCATGCATAGTTTACAAAGATTGTCAGAGTTCACGTCTATTAAAAAAAAGTCCTATGTGTCTTGGTGTGGTCCTCTTTGGATCTAACTTGTTTGGGACTCTCTGTGCTTCCTGGACTTGTATGTCTATTTCATGCCAAACTTAAACATAGAGAGAGAAGCTTAAAAGCTGCAAGAGAAAAGCAGAGAGTTACCTACAAGGGAGTTCCTGTGAGACTCTCAGCCAATTTCTCCAAAGAAACTTTGCAGGGAAGAAGGAACTGGAAAGAAGTATTCCAAGTGATGAAAAGCAAGAACCTACAACCTAGATTACTCTACCTAGCAAAGCTATTATTTAGAATGGAAAGGCAAATAAAGTGCTTCCCAGACAAGGTACAACTAAAGGAGTTCATCATCACCAAGCCATTATTATATGAAATGTTAAAGGGACTTACCTAAGAAAAAGAAGATAAAAAATATGAACAGTGAAATGACAGCAAGCTCACAGTTAATAACAACAACACCTAAAACAAAAACAAAAGCAAACAACTAGAAAAGGAACAAAATCACAGAAATGGAGATCACATGGAGGGTTATCAGTGGGGAAAAGGGGGGCAATTGGGGGAAAAGGTACAGGGAATAAGAAACAAAGTAGGTAGGCACAAAATAGTCAGGGGGAGGTTAAGAATAGTATAGGAAATAGAGAAGCCAAAGAACATATGTGTATGACCCATGGACATGAAGTTTTTGGGGAGGGGTTGCTGGAGGGTGAGGGGGGTGATGCAGGAAGGAGAGGGATAAAGGGGAGAAAAAAACTGGGACAGCCATAATAGCATAATCAATAAAATATATGTTTAAAAAAGAAGCAAAACTAGAAGGAACAAAAGAGACTGGGGAATGTTAAGAATAGTACAGGAAATGGAGAAGACGAAGAACTTATGCTCATGACCCGTGGACATGAACTAAGGTGGAGATTGCTAGGGGGAAAGGGGGTATGAGATGGAGTGAAGCAAAGGGGGGAAAAAATGGGACAACTGTAATAGCATAATCAATAAAGTGTACTTCAAGAAAGTCCAATGACCAGAAAACTGGTCATTGTTTGAAAGAAACTGCTCGGGTGCATGCAGTTAGTTAAGTGGGGCTGTAATAAAAATCCGAGAGCGGACACGTGGAGACAGGTCCACGTTTATGGCCGCTGGGTTGTTGACCTGGTTCGGCGATCTTCGCAGCTGTACCACCTATTCAAATACTGCAAGTGTGGAGCATCTCTAAACACCAGGCTCTTTTCACAGGTTAGTTGCATTCTTCCCAGCAGCCCTTGGATGGAGGTTTCCTTGCCCAGGTTCACAGAGTAAATGGCGGAGTGAGGACTCACACCTGAATCTCCTACAGATCCTGACTGCTTCTCCTCTATTATGTGGCCTATGACTTGTTCTTTTTTAAAAAATGTCTGTAACAACTCTTAATCTAAGTGACATAGAAGACTGTGAGGCTGTAAATGCACCAGCAGCCAGTGTGGATCTCATAAGCAGACCACCAAATCTCAAACATATTAGACAATGGAAATATTGGCTCTTTAAAATGGATTCCCCTAAATGCTCTGTGGAAAACTTGTCCCTCAAAATGCTGTGGGAAAAACATAGAAGTTCCATGATCAATAAATAAGCTTATGACCCACTGGCTTTAAATTAATTGATCTCCTTTACTGCAGTACTTTCAGAACCTTTGATGTGCTAACGTGCAACGAGGGAAGGTCCATGTGGTGTCCTTCAACTTTCTTGGCCAGGACACTCTTTTGGGAGGCATGTCCCCATGGCTGAGCGTTGGCACATGCTGCTCAAGCCTTTCCCACATTTCTTTGTGAGTATGGTGTGTTGGGCTGAGACAGTCCTGTTGGCATGTGAAGGCTTTGGACCCTAACACTTTATTTCTTGGCTGGCAGAGTCCAGGGCAGCTGCCTGCTCAGGAGGAGAAGACTGAAGTCCTCTCTGGTCCTGTAGGTTAGCCAGCCAGTTGTAGAGCTCCTCCTGACCTACTAGAGATGAGGTGAGCTGTGGTAATTGGATACGGTGGGAAATATCCAGGTTTGGAGAGCTACTTGGGTGGAAGGAGGCTGGACATTTAGGGAATAGCATAAACCTCTGGTGGATGCATCCCTGGCTCGGTAGCTCTGTTCATTAGAATGTTGTTCTGATACACCAAGGTTGCAGGTTCTATCCCTGGTCAGGGCACATACAAAGAAGCAACCGATGAGTCGAAAAAACACCTCCCTCTAAAAAAAAAAAAAAAGAAATAAGTGGAACAACAAAGTAAGTGATGTTTCTCTCTCTCTATATCCCCCAATCAATAAAATTAAAAAAATTAAAGACAAATAAAAAATTTTAAAAACTCTGGAGGATGCAGTGAAAAAGGAAATGAAGAGAGAGAGTGTGTGTAGAGGAAGGAAGACTCTGGGAACTAGATTAGTGCTTCTCAAAACAAAATCTGTTTCCTTCAAGAACGTGTGAGGGACAACTCTTCACAGTGACTTCATCGGAGGGGGCCTTAGGGATACATTAGGTCCATGAGGAATCAACTCTAGGTTTCACTTAATTTCATTCTAATGGTTGAGCTGAAGCGTCTGACGTTTGGAGGCCTCCTTAGGACTTGGCTTATTGGGGTCGGATGGGAAAATGAGTTAGGAGGCACTGACCAGCTGACTCTTTTTGTCTCCCTATTTTTTAATATAATTTTTGTCTGTTTTCTAGATTGGATGATATTTATTGATGTATCTTCAAGTTTTTCTGTTATGCCACCTAATAATTAATTTTTTTAAATTTTCATATTTAAAACTGTCTTCATTCTAGAATTTTCATTTCATTCTTTTTTATAGTTTTAATATGTTTCCTGAGATTTTGTATTTTTAAAACTTTTTACAAACACCTTTTCTTCTACTTCATTAAGGTAAGTTATAACAGCTGATTAAAAGCTGTTAACCTAGAATTTGGATCATCTCTGAATCAGTGCCCGTTGATGGATCTTTCCTTGGGGCTGGAGTATATTTCCCCATTTCTTTATTGAGTAATTCTCTTTTGGTTGTTGTTGTAACAATGAATTGTATGTTTATGGTAACATTCTTTTAGGAATTGTTTTCTCAGTTTATTCATCAACTTAGAATTGGTAACCAAAAGATGTTTCTTCCTATTGAGTACCTCAGGAATTCTTTACTGTATCCTGGACACTGTGAATGTCTAGATTCTTTAATATTTCTCTGAAGAGTATATATACTTTTGTTTTACCAGGCAATTAGTTTGCTTAGACTCAATCTGTAAACTCTATCTCTCGGGCAGTAGCTCAAATTTCAGTTCAGCCCTATTTACTTTGGTCGGGCTTTGCGCCGTTAGCCCCGCACATGGACAGCTCCAGAGTCAGTTGGACACTTGGGCAGAATTTACCTGTAGAATCTGGGTTTCTTCTCTCTAAATCTCTTTTCCAAGCTTTCCCTTTCACCCTTTCACTTTCAGCAGCTGTGTTTGCCCCAAACTCTGTCCATTAGGCAGGAAAGAACGTAGGTTAATTGGCATTTTAGCTCTTTCTGGTTCTGACTTGAACTGGCACAAAGGCTAAGAGCTGTAAACAGGTGACTCCCATATGCCATTGCCTGCGTCCTAGCTGCAGTGCCCCTTCTGAATCTTCTTGCTTTTGTTTCCTTCTGTTGCTTTAGGGTAGGTTAACACTTTTTTCCAGAGTTTACAGTTTTCACCTCGGGGAGGATCAGGTCTGTAAGAGCTTACTAGTCATATCAGAAGCAGAAGGGCTTTGTGATTCTTTTGCAATTCTTATTTATTTAGTTGTTCTCTGTCTTTAGTATTAAAGGTTTTATGAAAATGTCTGTTTGCTCTTAAGATATTCAGGAGGCAAGCCCTTCTTTTCCAAGGATGAACTTCATTGTAGGGTGATCAGGCAGGAGGCCATTTTCTGGGCCTCCTGCAAAATATAATTTTCCCCTCCTGATGGCATCCAGTTTTTTCTAGGGAACAACCTTCCAATTTCTTACTGTGGAAAATATGCTTGGAAGCCGACAGTCAAGTTGAAGAAAGGTCTCACAGTTCGACGTTTGGACTTTTAATTAATTTTTCAATTTTTAGCCCAGTAGCTCCACAGTCTCCTTGGAGTAATTTCTCTAGAAAGTAAGCTTTCTCAGCTTCTGTTGGGGTCATGGAGGTGCTGGCCCAGCTGTACGGGCTGGGGAAGCTGCTCTAAGGGTCCAGCTGTTCCTTCATCTAACTTCCAATCTGTCCTTTTATTTTCAGCCCCATCTTACACTTGAATTCAGATACTCCTATTAATTCTAATGTCTTGGGCTTTTCTGGGGCTGAACTTGAATTGGATAACTTCCTGTTGGCTCCTACGTCCCCTCCTCCAACCCCAGGAAGTCTTGTGTTTGCTTTTTCCATCCTGCCGATTCGGTCCCCAACCACACCACTGCTGTCTGCACTAGCGGAAATGTGGTCTGGTGTGGTCTCTGCTCACATACTCTGTGTCCTTCTGTGTTTATGCTTCTGTATTCCTTTTCTTTCACTTGGTGGGGAGTTGTAGACGTATGTTCTCTCTTCCCTTATTAACAAGAAGTGAATAAATTATAAAGGACAAATTTGAGAAAACATAATTTTCCTGATTGATAATAAAAGCCCACTTTTCTCTTTATTGTACAAGGCTGAAATCTTAATCGGCCAAGAAAACAGGACAGCTGACTCTCCCACAAGAGACCCAGGTGGAGGCCCGTGGTGCTCCCTGAGCATCACAGAGTCACAGAGCCCTAAGGGACTTGCAGGTTTTGTGGAGCAGTTTTCACACTTGGTTAGTGGTGGTGATGTGGGAAGCTTTGGAAAACCTTTGTTCACCCCAAACCCCAGGTTCTGGGAGAATGATAAGGCTGTCTGAGAAAAGCAAACAGCAGGATAGTCACAAGGACTGGGGCTAGCACCCCCACTGATAGAACTAATTTTCACATTTCGCCTTTGTACTCTGCTTCTGCCCTGTAGATAGAACTAATTACTGCATTCCGCTTCTGTATCTCGCTTTGCTACATAGACAGGAAGACCCCGTAGACTATATAAACCCCAAGAATCCTTTGTTCGGGGCTCAGAATTTGGAGACTGACTCTTCTGGGCCCGTGCATGTTAATTAGCCTCGTACTCCAGAATCCCTCCGTGTCTGGTTGCTTCGTTTTCCTATAACAGTGGTGCGCATTTTTTCAAAATGAGAGTTTACTTTCCCCTCATGACATAAAACAGAAAAATGTTATGATTTTCCTCCCAAGCATTAACATGTTTCCCGAATAAAACCCCTTCCAAGAACTCTGGGATCTTCGAGAGCAGAGATGGGAAACCCTTGCTTTAGCAGCACTATTTTACAAGGTCTTAGCCCAAACAGTATGCATAACCATCGCTCCGGTGTAAGTAAGTCGAGAAGGTTAAAAAGCAACAATAACATTAATTAAAGTTTATTGAGCACTCTCTATGTTTGGGGCACTATGTCTTGGGTTTATACACAGTATCTCATTTAATTCTCACAATGATGCTAGGAGGGGAGCGTAGGGATTAATGCCATTTTGTAAGTGAAGAGACCAAACCCTAGAAAGACTAAATTACTTGTTTATGGAGACACAGCTAGGAAGTGGAAGAGCTGGGACTCAAACCCAGGTCTGTCTGACTCAAAGCCCATTCATTTAACACAGGTCCCTGGGCATGGTCTGGTGGGCTTCGGCCCCTGGAGCACCTAGAACCATCCCTGGGGGTGCTGTACACTGAGGGCCACCTCCCGTTTGTGACAAAAAAATATGATGATAGAGTAGGTTTCAACAAAAAAGCAACGCCTGCCTCTAATACTCAGGACGCACCAACTCCCACGTACCCCACCCTACCCTACATCAGACTCCTGCTCCCCTCGACAGGTCAAAGGTGAGGGCCCTCCACCCCCCACGCAGCAATGCGCGCCTTCATCAACTCTGGTGGTGGGAAGAGAGGCCCTTCTCACCTGTGTGTTCCCCCAGGTGCATGCTGCGGGACTCCGAGGACACTTCGGCTGCCCCACCCAGGACACTGCCTGCGCACCCCCCCCCCCCCCCGCCCCCGCGCGCCGAGCCCAGTGTCCCGACCTTACTCACAGCGGCTCTCACAACTGTTACCCAGGCGCCGGTCATCCCGTGGCTGCCCTGGACCAGTCCGTGCCCTCTCATCTGGGAACAGGCTGTTCTTACCATCAGCAGCCTCTGTGCCTCAGCACTGAGTAAAGAGCAAAATGATTTAGTCTTCTCTCTCTCTCTCTCTCTCTCTCTCTCTCTTTTTTTAAGACCTGAGCAGCCAGCGCCGGGTAGGGCCAGTGGAAAGTGAACAGTGGCTCCCTCTCCAGGAGATGGCAGTGTTGAGACACGTATCAGGGCCAGGCCCAGGGCTCTTGGCTGTAGACCTGCTTTAATTAAAAACCTGCTAAACCCGAGGTGCTCCTCATTCAGTGAACAGCTAAAGTGTTAGAAATATGTAGGGAGATTCTGGGTGATGGAGAAAGCCCTCTTTCCACGTGTAGCCTTAGCTAGAGTACTCAAGGAAATTTATGAATGATCTCTCAGAAAGATATGTCAATTAAACTTTCACTAAAAGTTTCTTCTCTTTTGCTCAACACCCCCCCCCCCCGCCCCAAACCCCGGCCCATTCCTTTTATTCCTCCTTTTGGACTCAGAAGATGGCAATAAGAGTAAAGACCATCAAAAACTGTGGTCAAATTCCATGCAATTTTTTTAAGGTGTAAATGTATACCTGTATTTTGAGTCTCTATCTTCTTGGTCTCAAAGAGTTCTTCGCCTTTGGCCGTTAATTTTTCAAGCAGGTGAATCCCAGGTCCACTGTGTGGAGGAAAATGCAATCTGAGACGGGTAGGAATCTTGGAGTAGGGTCTTGCTTTGTCCACTGCAGGTATGCACCTAGTTTTGCAGACTAGCAGGCCCCAAGGAACTGTGACTCATTAGAATTAGACTTTGGAAGGTGGACAGCAGAGATGTGGGACATTAAGTTTTATTTACTGTGACATGGAGAGCAAAGAAGGACCCTAATCTTTTTTTTTTTTTTTTTTGTTTCTTGATTTTATAGCCTCACAGCCACCAACCAAGAAGAGAACATGTTCACAGGCTCTGGAGGACCTGGGGACTGTCCAACATGGGCCCAGGACTCCAGCCCAAGTGAGCCAACTCAGGGCCTATGGCTGCCCGTTCAACCAGGGCCTTTAAAAAACAAAAAACAAAAAACAACAGCCTTGCAGCAGCCCTACAAAATTATTTTCTCTCTCATAGAAGGGCAATGATAGGCTCTGGGAGTTTATTTCTTCCCTCTTGACATATGTTTCACGCAGTCTTGGGTGGGGTCCTATAGGGGCTCCCGGGTAAGAGATGCCATCCTCTCTCTGCTGGGGATGAACACCAGTCCTTTCCACTTCAAGGGCAATGTGTCTCAGGGGACCCAGACTCCAGGCCGGGGGAAGCTGCTGTACAACCGCAGCAGCTTCAGGAGCCTGCTGGTGTGCTCATCGCTTTGTTCAGTGCCACCCTCTGCTCTGCAGTGTGCACACGGATGACGTGGGGATGCGGTGAAGTGCAGAGTCCGGATCCGGATCCGTGCGCCTGGGGTGGGGCCCGAGAGCCTGTCTTCCTCACAAGCTCTCAGGGGGTGGGTGCCGCACGGGAGGAGCCCTGAAAAGCCAGACCGTAGAGGATTTCTACGGTCTGCTTCCAGTGGAGCAGGAAGGAAGAGAGTCCAGCTTCTCTAGCACTCACTTCAAATTAGCAGGTTCCCGGTCGATCTTTGAAATTTTGTAACATCATTTTAAAAGTTTTTTTTTAGCAGAACCAACTGATGTCCAAATGGTCGGCCTGCCTCATTCTTTGTCTTATATAACATGTGACACGTTATGTTTTGAGCTTAGAGACCTGATCAAAAGTTGAGAAAAATTGAACTGGAGCCTTGAACTCCAGAATTTTCAGAGTAAATGCTATGGCACATACTTGGGGAAAGGATAATATTACATGCCAATTCTATTAGCCACTGTAGATAATCAAATGTAGGCCATGTGAATAGTGCCCCAAATTCAGGGTAGCAAGTCCCACCCCTTATTCCCATGCATCAGGTTGGCAGGAAGTCCCAGATTTCCCTCCTGGAGGGAAAGTCCTCCCTTTCCCGCTGTTGTCCCCAAACTGCAGAGATTTATCCTGCCCTGAAAGGAGATGCGTGTGGCTTTCTCACCGGCTTATGTTGCTGCCTTTGCCTTTCACAGCTGCGTGAGAGCTGATCCCTTCAGGGCGCCTGGCCTCAGCTCCAGCTTGGGGTCTGGGGGTCCTGCAGTGGACGACGGCTTCACCCTCTCAGCTGAGTCCTCCACTCCGCCATCTCCTGGCAGTGCTGTGGCAGGACATCCAGCCCTTCTATAAACAAAGCCTCTTACTGTCTTCTTTGCTTTTGCGTAGATCTACCATACCCAGCAGTTGCTTGATTTTAATTATTCAATCAACCCTAGGAACACAAAATGCAAAATAAAGGCCCCTTTCCAGATAATATAGCACTCCCCACCCACCTTCCTATGAAAGGTGACTCTGATTTCTTCAGGGATCCTTGCATCCAACCTGCAGCTTCAACATGGTTCTCAAACACGAAGGGATGAGTCAATTCCTAGCCAGATGAGAGAACCATCTGTTCGCTCTCCCACAGATGCACCAGCTCACTGAGGGTACTGGGCAAGTCACCCAAACCTTACAAGAGTTTCCTCATCTAATCAGAGTGCTGCTCACATCGTCCTGGTCACTTCAGAGCTAAGCTCAACCCTGCGCTGCTTTTCTGCCGCCTGTCCCTGGAAAGGGCACTGATTTTGCACCATTGCCAGAGAATAATCATGGAAGACGAGCTGAAATGCCCCACCTTAGGTGTCCCAAGGTGTCCCTTGTTGAACACCTATTCAAAAGTCATTAAAAGCTGGCCAAAGATATTTGGCTCCAGACCATGGTTCTAGAATAATAATGATCAGATGGGCAAAAAATAATGGGGGAAAAAAAGAGGCAAAGCTCAGTTAGTCCAAGTGTCATGATTTTTACACATTTTCTAGTAGAGAGCTCAGATTGGATGTTGCAGAGGCCCAGGGATTTTACAAAGGTCCTGGGGCACATGGGTAGAGGAAGGAAGAGGTTATGCTAGTCTCATAGGCAGGATTTTTGATGGGAGTTGATGTTTGTTCTTTTTTTTATCTTTGCCTGAGGACATGCTTATTGATTTTAGAAAGGGGGAGAGAGGAAGAGGAGGGAGAGAGAGAGAAAGAGAAACATTGATCAGGTTCCTTCTGTATGCACCCCAGTCAGGACTGAATCAGCAACCCCGGCATGTGCCCTGATCAGGAGTCGAACTTGTGACTTTTTGGTTTACGGGACGATGCCCAACTAACTGAGTCGCCTGGCCAAGGTGGGAGGTGATGTTCTAAATCAATTAATAAGGCATGTTGGGTTGACCTTGTCCCAAGCGGTTCACTTTGAGCAAGTGTTCCGAGATCTCCAATTAGACGGCTCCCAATCACAATGTAGAATTATTGGGTTGCTGTGACCAGATGCAAAATCTTACTCTGAGAGAAAGCAGCTGGTGGCTCCTAGTAGCTGGTTTCAACCTCACGTGGTCTGGATCCCAAATATGAGAGGGTTCCTGGTCCCACCTAATCCGAACCGCAGATATAAAAGGGTTCACGGCCTCATGTGGCTTGCTTCTTAACTATAAAAGGGTTTGTTAGCTGCAGAGTTGTGACCTTTGGCCCCTGGTGAGGAGTTCAGAGACTGAATTCACACTGTAGGATCAGAAGAATCTCACTCATCTCCCCAGCAACTGGGAACTTTCAAAGCCTCATTTTTCTTGATTATCAAATCAGAACCGTAAGTTCTACTTCAGTCATTTCCAAGATTTTAAAAAAAGGAATGCATAAGAAAATATTTTGAAAGACATTCAAACTCAAGCTATGAGTTTTTTCCAAAATGTTGGGACTTCACGGTCGGCTGCCTTCACATTCCTGCTTCTCTCTTCTCTTACATTTTCCCAAGAAATCCTCTGTGTGGCATGAAGGGAAGAAAAAGGTTTGAATCTCACCCCTTCCACTGAGCAGCTGTGACACTAAGCAAGTTATGTCAGGTCTTTGGGCCCATTTCCACACTTGTTGAGTGGGTTACCCACTTTCTCAATGTGTTTGGCTGCATCTGCTAAAGCATAGCCTCTGACCCAGGGATTCCACTCCGGGGACTAGGCCTGACAGACAGTTGCACACGTGCCCCTAAAACACACACCCAGAACATTCCTGGCAGCATTACTCATAATAACCACTAACCTTTTGAAAGTAGCCTGAATGACCGTCAAGGGCAGGATAAGTTGTGGTGTATTCGCACAGTGGAGTACTACACAGCACTGAAAATGAGCAAACAACTGCCATTTGCCACAATCATAAGTGAACTTCATAAAGATAATGTTGGGCAAAAGAAACCAACCCTTAAGAGTACCTATCATAGAATTCCATTTCTACAAACTTCTCTACAGTGTTAGATTTCAGAATAATGATTATTCTCGGGTAGAAAGAAGTGGCGATGAGCAGAGGGCAGGGGGTTCTCTTTTAGAGCATTGGACTGTCCTGCTTCTCGATGTGGAAGTTACCAGCATTGTTCTTACTGCCTGTACCTGAACTCGTGAAGAACCACTTCTTCCCTTTCACTCCTTATGTCAGGCACGAGTATTGCTGGAGCAGTACTGATATAGTTCATTGTATTAAAAAGTATCAAATTGTGTATTAATGATCAATGTGCCTTCATCATGTATATGACATGTCAGTGAAGAAAGTCTGTTAAAAAAGGAATCCTAACCTTGAAGATAAGTTAATGTGTTGATAAGAAACTATGTCAAATGTCTGGGACAGTGCCTGTAGTTCAGAAAACACACAGGTATAATAGATATTATTAGTAGTATTAATGATCCCCCGAATAGGCTCCGGCTTGTGCCAGAAATTTTGGTGTGAGCCTGTGGTCCCAGACTCCCATCCCTGGGGCTCTCTAGCTGCTCCCAGCGAAACCACAATTATGTCAGTCCTGTCGGAGTGGCTGCCTTGACACCCTTGCTGCTATGATGAGAAAGGGTGGGAGATGCCATTACCCCTGAGGACAATGCCCCCTGCCCACTGCCCACCCTCCCAACTTGCACCTGGAGGAGCGGAGCTGGCCTTTGGCTGCCCCTCACCCCCACCGGCACCTGGCCCTTGAGTACCTGCAATTCCCTCACATCAGACAGTGTTACCAGAGAGGCCAAGGACAAAGTATTTGCCAAGGATTCCTGGGAATAACGGAGTCACCTGAGCTGAAACAAGAAGGGTAATAATGGCACCATTGTTTAAACACTTTGGTGATGGACACTGTGCTAAGCACTCACAGACACTACTCATTGAATCCCTTTAACAATCCTGGGGAAAGTCCTATGGTTACACCCACTTTGCAGATGGAGAGACCAAACCCCAGAGTCCTAGGACCATTTCCCTAAGAGTGTATAGCCATTAAGTGTAAAGTTGGGACAGCAACTCACTTGCACTTGAAGCTCCTGAACTTCCTTCATCCTCTCTTTAATGAAGGAGAAAGGAATGAAAGATGGAAAAACTGGTTCCTCACTTTCTCTGAATTTGGTATAGGCAGGAGAAGGATAGAAAAATTTATCATTTTGAAAATACTTAAGGCCAGGTATCTTTTGGAGGACAGAGTTCCCTGCATTGCCGACCTCCTTACTTATAGGTAAAAAAAGTTTCTCAGGATTTTGAGGAATTGTTTCCAAATCCATATTTATAAAAACAAACAAGCAAAAATAGATGTGACCAAAGGAAACACATTTTATGTGGCGCATTTAGGATCAAAAGCAAACTGAAGCAGCTCTGTTATTTATTTTAGGAAGCCCTCAATAAAAGTACAGAGAATTTTATAGGAGTGAAAGCAAACCCAGCCATACCCCCTGTCTTTCCCAAGCTGTGGGCTAAGTGCATGCTCTGTAGGAGCTAAGGTCATCTTTCTGTGTCATTCTTACTGCCTGCACCTGAGCACGTGAACAGCCACCACTTCCCCTTCACTCCTTCTGTCAGGCATGAGTGCTGCTGGGGGAGTTGAAGGAGAAGGGAAACAACGAACACTCCAGTCAAATTTATATAAAAACTTTCTGCTGTTGAATTGCAGTTTGGAGGATACTCAAATTAAGACAGTGTGCAAGGACTATGCAAAAATGGTGGCTTGCACGTGTGAAACTGCTGTTGCTTGACCCTTTCTGATATACAAAAGTAGCAACTGCACACAGTTAACACTAGGTGCTAACGGGATGGTTTCTGTCACCGTGTCCTAGTATCAGCTTCTGAAAGTCACTCTCGTTCTCCCAGCCTGTGCAATGGTGCAAGTTGGGCAGGACATCTGTTTTAATTTCTGGTTTGCAGTTGAGGGAAATAAGACACTAAGTGAATAAATAACTCGTCTAAGTTCAAAAAAGCCAGTTGAACCAAAGAACATTGGTGCCACAAGGGACCTGTAACAAACTAGAGTGTATTGATTGCAGTGAATGAAAACAAGGAAATGAAAGACAAAAACCATATCCTTAAACTGCCTTAAGCAAAAAATAACATAACATAACAACATAACGTAACATAACATTAAAAAGAAACAAAAACAAAGCCAGAGGACTTATTGGCTTCCGTGATGCTGGAGTTTAGGACTGGATCCTGGAACCCAAATCACGCCCACGAGCCTGGGTGCCCTTCATTCTCAGGTGCTTCCTGCTGCGTTGCCTTCTTTCCAGACAGGCTTTCCCTGATGTCCTACAAACTTGCAGATGTATCTTGCAGGTTCGGAACTCAGATAAAACTCAGCATCTTTGAACCCTCATTCCCAGTAGTGCTGGGATCCACTCTGCTTGGACTGGATTAGGCCAGGTGTGTACCTGATGCAACTATTGATGTGAATAGTGAATGCGGTACTTGGATTGACCAAGCCTGGCTGGGTACCGTACCCTCCTCAGACTGAACATGGCCATCACTGGAACCACACAGAATGGAAGTGTGGGGATGCTATGAAGTAGGGAAGATGGATACTGAGGGCAGCGTTTCCTTGGAGATCACTGACCCCAAGCTGCTCTTTCTATAGATGAGGAAACGTGGCCACATGCCTCCTGCCTCCCAATGCTTGTCACTTCCAACACAGTCACTCTGCTTTCTACATGGCCTGGTCATTAGCTCCACACAGCTGTCTCTGAATCTAGGAAAAGCAGCCTTGGGGGAAAGATCTAACACACCTATTTCTTTGCAGTGACCAAGCAGGGGTCACATCAGTGAAATGCAAGACCATGACAGTGAAGCTCAGAACGCGATGCCTGCTGACCCGTGCTCTCCTGCTCTGAAGTGGCAGCCATACCAAAGTATTCCTTGGCATAGTTTGTTTATTAAATGGTCATTATGAAAGACTGTAAGTGGCCTTAGGAAGCCCTGTGGTAGCCTGGAGAGTGAGGGGGAAAAGGTAGTGCCAACTCTCAAGACTGAACCCAAGGTGTGGGGCTCTGTGGCCACCCCTGATCAAATGGGATAGGCCAATGAGAAGCATGGCTTACTCCTTCTGTTTTGCATTCTACCTGATGAATGGCTGGGACCTGGGTGTCTGGCTGTCAGGAATCCAGACTTGTAATTCTGACTTGTTATAATTTACCCACTCAGCAATGGAAGGGGAGGGGGTCTTTCTCAGATCACATGCTCAGTTAAAGCTAAAATCTGGAAAAATGGAGGTTTCTCAAGTTACCAATATTTAATCCTACAGTTAGTTTAAAAAACTGGAGAATACATTTTGGGGGTCACCTGAATTTTTAGCTGGTGACGCCTTTCTCCCTCAGCGTCCATGCTGCCAGTCAGTATTGTCAAGTTCACTTTGAATGCACCTGCAGTAATCACCGCCAGTGGCGCCTTTGTATTCAGAGACTGGTTCAAACCATACAAAATATCCTTCAACTGGAAGAGTTTCATTCTATTCTTATGACGTTATAGTTTCAAGAGGCCAATGTGGACATTCTTTAAGACTTTTCTTTATTCCTTAGCATATAATTTACCCATCTAAGTCTTGTAGGATTTTCATTGATTATAAGTGCCTTCCTGAAACAGTAGGAAATGTTAGTGGTTAGAGAATAAAATTTTCAAGTAATACGTATGGTACAAAATTGGCCTACAGACTTGAGGGTCTTCATGGTATTCTCCAAATTCAAATGTAACTTTTTTAAGGGCACACCTATGTCTAGGACGTTTATGCAAGATGAACTGGAAGGAAATCTTTTCCTTAAAACAAAATCTCAGCAGGTAAACAGATTTGGGAGTTGGCGTGTTTAACAGGAGGCAGAAAAAAGCAAATTGCTAATAGTATCACTGAGGTGTCTTTGCCACTGTGTGCACTTAGAAAAAGAGAGGAAGAGCCCATAGGTCTTGGTTTTGAGTCTTAGCCTTCACGTGATCTTCAGGGGAGGGTCCCACACTCTGCCTCCAACATAAGAACCGAGGTACGAAACTGTCACCCACATGCACAGTATTTTACTTGACCCCGTTCATGCTTCCTGGTCTCTGTGCATCTGAGTTAATCAGAGGTACCTGTTATCTCTCTTCTCACTTGAATAGCTTATTTTCTAAAGTTTACGGACCAGCCCATTGATGCTGGACTGATTTAGAAAAAAGGAGAACACCAATGGCATCAACTCAAGGATGCAGAGGAAGGTGCATTTTGAAGCCATAATTCACTTAAGCATGAATGGAGGCAATATTCATCTGGATTAGAACTCAGGTCCTCTTGATTTCACTACTAAGAGAGAAAATCATTTGTGTCTTCTTAGATTTTTATGTCTAAATTGTTACCCCCCCAAAAAGGCCAGTCAGTTAGTCTGCTTACCTGAATGTGTTTCTGCAGAAATTTAGAGAGAGCTGGCAATAATAAAGCCATGTTACGAGCCTTAAAGACATTGAAGTCATTAAGGTCCCTGAAGATGGCTACAAGAAAAATATAATAAACTGTTACAAAAATATTGTTTTCTCAATTACCTAATTCACATTAGGGGACTGAAAACGCATCAGATCTTTTTTTCCTGAGTGATATTTCAAACCTGTGCTACAAAGAGTTTTTTAAAAGGCCGGTTTCATTGGCTTTATAATAGACTTTTGATATCAAAAACAGAATCGCTATTTTTCAGTAAACAGATCTCTTTAACCAGAGATTGGTGGTCAAGGATCAGATTAGTCTCCAGCACAAACGTTGCTGGTTGACTCAGTTTCTGTCACAGCTGCTTTTAAATTTCAGGCTAGTGCTCATATCTGGGCCGTCAACCTTACCTGCTTTCTTCAGAGTTCTTGACAGTGAAACATGGAAGATCGCAAAAAGATATTTCTTTTTTTTCTCAAGCAAGACAGTTCTTATTACCCTCTGTAGTAAAATCTATACAGTTCAATCCATCTGGCCGTTAGATGAGCAAATTAGCAGATCAGCTCTAGGAACCCGACTCAATATAAAGTTCCCAGATGGCACAAGACTCGTGGTCTTTATCAAGTCCTTCATTCAGTGGCTGTTCTTGTTGCTGCCCCCAAGCACTGCGATTGTGGGGCGTTTGACTGATCAGCCACTTGAGGGTAATCAATGACCCAGTGACTTGATTCACTGTGACGGTGCTTTTCTTGCAAAGAACGCAAACACGACTGACCCAAGAGACCCATTGATATTTCCTGTCTCTGAAATTGGAGGACGATTTAGAAACTCTGTGTTGTTCATTATGATGGCAGACTTCCAAACTGAGATCCCAAGATGCGAAAATCCACAGGGCAGCAGGAGCGGGGAGCTAGCAGAGCAGGCAGTGCTGCCCCCTTCCACCTGTGCTCCTGGGAGGGCGCTTCTTTCGTGGGAAAAACCCAGATTTAGAAACCTCAGTAAACTAAAAATCAGGCTCCATACCTACATGTTTGAAAAAAACTCACCAAAGGAGTTTTCAACTTTTGTGTTCTCTTCTTTCCTTAGACTGTCTCACATTTAGCATGTTTTATTTTCATTAATGTTTTAAAGTATTTATATATAAAATAATTAAATATTTAATTAAACATGTAACCTTCTATTGAAAATGATTTGATTAAAACAGGTAAAGCAAGAAGCTGATCTTTCAGCCACTCCACCACCGCTGCATCCCCTTCTGCAGAAATGACCAGCACAGGAGGCTGGCGGTGCTGTTCAGGCTGGGCGGGTGAGAAGGGACTGACTTCCATCTGGAGAAGACAAATTCTCAACCAGTAGTATGGCTGACTCTGGCTGATCCGGGACAAAGCTATCCCTGGTATTTCTGACCTGTCTACTTTATTCAGATGATCACCAGTAGGTGGGATACTCATTCGTCTGAGAAACTATTTGAGTATGGTATTGCTGATAAAATGCAGAGACTTCTATTTTTTTAAAGAAGCAGGAAGATAACTATTTCACAAGTCTGAGTAGTGCAGTGACTTCCCGACTTCTGGCCTATGTCTTCCTGCTGCATGGTGGAGTCCAGTAACTGGAGGGGTGTGGGAAGCACACGGGACCAGGCGGGCTGAGCAAACAATGCCTGCATTGGGCGAGAATTGTGCGCCTTCCTGGTGAGACAAGAAAAAGCTGCGAGGGAGCCAGCTGTGTTTTGAAATATCATATTCATTTTCTCAGCAAAAATGCACAAAACTGATTGATTACATATAGCAACAAGAACTTTCTGTACTACATTTTCTTGAATGTTTATACGATTAATATGGTTCAAGACAGACAATGTGTAGAAAATATTTGTGAAGCTGGTTTCTTGATTCCTCTTTCTGTGGATCCAAATTAGGCTTCCAAGTTGTCACAGACAAAGGATTTGGTTTTTCACTGGCAGATGAAGCTTTTGTTTGCCAAAAGAAGAACCATTTCCAGATAACCATTTATATCCAAATTTGGGGGATATAATTTTGGCAAAATTTGTCAAAACCCAAATGGGCCTACAGCCAATAGAAAGAAATGTTTTACTTGAAAGGTTTTGGGGTTAAGGTAAGTCTTTTATTTAGTTAGTTCCATTTAATTCAGCCAACATTTAATAAGTGTTCCAGTGGTCCATTGCTGAGTAACAAACTACCCCAAAACTCAGTAATGTAAAATGCTAACAATCATTTATTTGGGTCACAAATCTACTTGGTTAGGGCTTTGTTCTGATAGTTCATCTCTGTTCAGGAGTCATTAGCTAGGGCAGCTCCAATTTGCTGAATCCAACTTGCAAGAAGGCTCACTTATGTGCCTGTCTGGTGCGTGCTGCCATCAGCCCGGAGCTCAGAGGGGCTGGGGGGTAGTGGCTCCTTCCCATACTATCTCTCTGTAGGGCAGCTTGTGCTTCCACACAGCAGGGAGGATGGGCTCTAAGAACAACTGGTCCAGGACAAAGGGAGCAGAAACTGATAATTTCTTTTTTTTTAAGATTTTACTTATTTATTTTCAGATAGAGGGGAAGGAAGGGAGAAAGAGAGGGAGAGAAACACCATTGTAAGAGAGAAACATCGATCAGTTGCCTCTTGTGTGCGCCCTGACTGGGGCCCCGACCAGAATCAAACCAGTGAGCTTGCCTTTTGCAGAGTGACCCCCAACCAACTGAGCCACACCAGCTTCGGTCAGGGCTGAAGCTGCTAATTTCTTAAACCTGGGCTCAAACTGGCAAAATCCACATCAAACTGCAGTTTTGCAGTTTTCAGTGAATCAATCTTGTACTTCTTTTACTAAATATGGTCTTAATTGCTTTACACTTTTTGATGCTGGTTCATTTTCATATGGAGTAGATTCAAAGTTTTCACCAAATTCTCAAAGAGGTCCCTGACTTAAAAAAAGTTAACACACCACTAATCCAGTCAATGTCCCCTCTTTTCCAGTTTAACAGAGAGGCAAGACAGAAGCTTAGAATGTAACATAATTCATCCAAGATAATAAATGATAGAGCTGGGTAGGATGACTCTTGATTGGCCAATGAGTATCTAATAAATTATTACCTCAGATCCTGGACCTTAGTGGGAGTAGCTATTGTCCACATATTTTATTCTGATCATTAATCTGGGCTTAGCTTCCCAAAATGGTGCTGGACTGTTGGGCCCATCAGCTGCTCTTCCTCCAAACCAAGCTTTCACACCAAACCAAACCAGACCAAAATGGAGCACAATGAAAGCAAATACAAACAAACAAAAACAAATACCCATATTTTCCTGATCTTGGAAGTAAGAATTCTATTGTAAAAATGTCGAAACATAATAGAAAAACATGAAAGAGGAAAAATTCATTCATATTTAGGATCCACCATCTGGTAGCTTATTTTTCCTTACTTTTCTGTTATTAAAATTGATCTCATATTGTTAATATAGTGGAAAAATAACACCGTATGATAGTAAAGACTCTATCAAACTATCGTTTACAAAGATGACACAGATTTCCATTGTATGGAGGTACTCTATAAATTCCTATATTATTGTTTGTTTTATTTCCAGTGTTTCTTGTTAATACAACTGCAGTAAACATCTATATACACCCACTTTTGCATGAAGATAAATTCCAGCAGAGGAATTTACACATTGAAAGAATGAACGTTACTAATCTCTTGATGTAGGTTGCCTAGTGGCTTTTCAGAAAAATTGTCACCAGGCAAATGAACACCCACAGCCACAGACGACAGGGCAGGTCTCACTGAGTCATTGCTGATGTCCACCAATGACAAGGAGGGTTTGTACGAAGGACTAAGTGCCATTTCCTATACTTCTTTTATTACCATTGCTTTTTCTTACTAGAGCGTAAGCTCTGCAAGGGCACAGACTTCTGTTAATTTGGTCAACTTCTCTAACACCTTGAGCAATGCCTGGTGTGTATGGCAGGTGCTCAACAAGTATTTATGTATAAATAAATGCATGAACACATGAATGCATGCCTTCTTTGAGCTATGCTGCTCTGTGTTTTGCAGCTGATGTTTCTCCTGGCCCATTCTGTACTCACTGTTTCTCTGGAATAATCTGTGGTCTTGTGTTTTCACTGTGTAGTTTTTCAGGTGTTTGTTTCTTTTCTCACCAGGAACATACTGCTTTAAGGTCCGAGCCATTGCCTCATATGTCTTTTCAGTGACTTGCCCCTCCGGCCAGTGCTTAGATTGATACCTTGGAAGACCTTTAAAGTACTTGAACATTATTTACTAATGAGCATTTTATCAATAAATTAGTTTATTAAATTTTTTCTTTATGTTGTTTTACATAGATGGAAGCCACCCATCAAGTAACTGCTGTTGAACAATCCCAAGCAGATAGAAGCAAAAAGATTTTCAATCCTGTGAAGTAAGAACTTCTTTTCTGAATTCCTTTGTGAGTGTTTTGGGAAGAAAACCTATTGCCCAATTTATTTTGCTTATTTGAAATGAATCTTACTGTAGCAACTAAATAATAATATGTTAATTTATGAACATATACTGTCCACAAAAATAAAGTAGATAAAATGCATGAAAATAATTGCAAAAAAGTTCTTCTAAAAAGCTCAATTTTTATTTTTATAATTATTTACTACTCGATAACAACCTTGGTTCCTTGGGATAGATTATGGTTAGACCTTTTAATTTTTCATGTAACTCAGCACAATGCTGAAAGAATTAAATTTAAGGCTCTGGATCCATCCTGTGCCTACAGTTTATTTTTTTCTTCTTCTAAAGCTATACTGATAGATTGCTTAACGGGTTCCAAAATAGAAAGCATACAGCATTGGGATTATCCAAAGCAGTATGGTGGTCCAAAGACAGAGTGCTCTGTAGAATCAGTTCAGAGTGGGATTTGCTTTTCAACAACTGATTTGGCTGGGATACCGTTGAGACATTCAATGTTTTGACCCTGAGTCAGTCCCACTGGGGCTGGGAGGAAGATGGCCCTGTGGCTGGGGCCAGGCAGGAGCTCAGCCTGATGCTCAAGCAGGAGCCTCGTGTACAAACACAGCTCTCAACCTGCCTGGTGCTTCCGGCTCTGCCTGGCCTGGGGAAGGCTGTGTGTGGTCGTCCTTAGAAACAAGCAGCCTCCTGCATCCAGGCCAGGAGAGGGCAAATACATGAAGGAGACGTGAGGCAATTCACGAGGAACCTAGAGAAATTGCTTCAGTGAGGAAGTGAGTGCTATAGAAGCAGAAGCACAAATAAAATATGTCTTTTCTCCTCACTGTGGAGGTAAAAGAGTCCATATGTGGTTCCAGGAGCACACAGCCCTTGTGAGTCAGAAGCTCTGGGCCTGAGCTCCTGCGGGATGAGCACTTCCACTCGAGGGTTATTCCGTGCACTTTCCTGGCCCCCATCCCTGGCCTCACTATGGATGGTTTATTAAAAATCAGTGACTGGAATAAACTGTCCTCCGCAGTGTGACAGGAACTCAGGAACATGCTTGAGAATCTCAGATGGACCACATATGCTCAAAGACTCTATGTTCTTTTACAGTCTCTTGGTATTTCTGCTGTTTTAGAATTGACCTACTCTGGCCAACCACATACGTCACCAAAGTAACATTGGGCTGATGAAACTTCAGTGAAACCACAGCAAATAACATGAGAAAGGAGGGGAAACCAAATCCTGACCAGAGGTCCCAGCGTCGCTGTGTCCACCTGGGGTGGCCGGTGCTTTATATGACCAGGCGGTGCCCTCCACCGGCCTCTCTGCTGCTGTAGACCCTACTAGCCTGCAAACCAGGCCTCCCTCAGCCATTTCCCTTCCTTCTCTGATTCAGCTTATTGACATATCTCACTCACCCTTAGGCATCTTTCTTCTTCCATCCTCATCCCTGCAATGCCTGCTCTCCCGCCAAGCCCTGAACCTGCTCACTTTGGTTGCCTCTGTGATTCTCTGGAGTCACCCTGCATTTATGTCTCATTGCCGTCCAAGGGCCGAGGGGGGGCTGACTGCAGTTCTCAGACCTGTGTGCTGCTCGCTGATAGGATGCCCCGGACCCTGCAGCTCTGCTATAGCCTTTTTGGATTAAAAAAGAAAATAAATTTGCATTAATAATTTAGATCTGCAGTTCTCATAGTGTGGTTCCAGGACTATCAGAGGTAGAATAACCCAAACAGTTATTAGAAAAGCAAGTTCTCAGGCCTCCCCAAAGACTTACTGAGTCAAATACCCTGGCGGTGAGGCCCAGCAGTTTGCATTTTCACAAGCCCTTGAGGTGACGCTGATGTATAACATGTTTGAAACCACTGGTTTTGGAGTTGGACGGAATTGAGTGTGAATAGGTCATACTGCCGTTTACTAGCTGGGTGACCTTGAGCACGCAACTTAACCTCTCTGAGATTCGTGTTCCTCTTCTGTACAATGGGGACAACAACCATATTCTACTCTAATAGGGGTCTTTGGGGATCTAAATGAAATGATGTAGATAAACTGCTAGCCCAATTCCTGACACACTGAGCGCTGGGTAGATGGTAGCTGATAATAATAACAACAATTCTCACTATTACTGATTTACTTTATATACAGAGGAGAAGTCATTCTCTAGGGATTTGAGAATTTGTAGAGTGTTACAGAGGAAGTTGATGACATTTCATCATGCAGTTATTAATGCAAAAGCTGCTCTGATAGGGGTAGTTTTTATTTTGACTTTCAAGAAGTGATCAGATCTTAAAAATGTCTCAGCAGTGGTACACATGAGGAAGCAATCAAAGTAACTGATGAAAATTGCCATTGGGAGCAATTGGAGGGGAGGGGCCAGGCCTCTGACTAAAGTCATGACTGGGGGCTGTGCAAGGTACAGGGTACACGGCCAAGAGCAGTTTAAGGTGGGAAGGGTCCAGGGTCCAGGGTGGCTGAACGAACACTCCTGAGTCATCCCCCACTGAGGCCTAGGACATGGGGCTCGGGCGACTCTGGACCGGGGAACTGTAAGGTGGCTTCCTACTGTGTGCGTGTTTGTGAGTGACGCTGTGTTGAGGGCCCAGGAACGCAGCCAGTGCAGACGGGCTGAGCCCGGGGTCCCCAGAGAGATGACTGCCCACGGCAGGCCACGCAGCTCAGACACCTCAGACCGGGCAAAAGGAGGACCCAGACCGAGGGCGAGTAAATCAAATGCTCTCTCTTTCCGCAGGAGGGGCCCTGGGCTCAGCCCATTTGTACTGGCTGCGTTCCTGGGCCCTCCACACAGTGTTGAGGGGCCCCTCAACTTAAAGCAGAGGAGTCCAGTCTTTAAATGTGCAATCTTTAAACAAGTAAACTCATCTGGGTAAATTCACCATTCATAAACTGCAGGTGGCATTTGATCACGCAGGTTATATCTCTGTTCCCTGATGTGTTGCCATTGGTCTTATATTTCTGAATTAGATACTTCAGGCTGGTGGTCGGACTGCGTGCTGCTCACCAAGGCCAGTTCTATCTGTCGTCTGCCCACATCTCTGACAGGATCATTGTAAAGGTAAAGCTCATTTCCTTGCCTTTTCTGGATCCCATATGCTTTTCTTGAGGATAGTAACAGCAAATACCATTATTTTAGTTTCTACACAGTGGTTCTCAACCAGGAAAAGTTCTGTCCCCTGGGGGTCAGGGGTAATGTCTGCAAATACTTTTGGGTGTCACAGGTGGGGGTGCTGCCACCTAATGTGTAAAGGCCGGGGACGCTGCTCCACCCCTTACAGAGCACAGGACAACCCCAGAACACGGGACCATCGTCCTGAAAGCTCACAGTGCTGCAGCTGGCAAACCCTGGTTTTCACACTGTGTTTTAGGCACTGAGGGAAATTCTCTATATATGGCATCATTTTAGATGGTTTTACATTTGTATTACATTCTTTACACCCAGAGGAAGGGAGGTGCAAGAGGGTAAGAGAATTATCTGTGATCACGCAGCTTGTAAGTGATGGAGCCCGGTTACAATCCAGTTCTCTTGGACCCTAAAGCCCGCAGGACAGAGAAAGTGGCAGGAAGGCCTTCCATGCCCTAACGTGGTGGGTGACCCCAGGGGCATCTGGACCCCTGCCTAGCACATGGTCATGGTTCATCACGTTTTGCTGAATGACTGATTGGTCACAGCTGTGGACAGAATCTTGGCAGCCACGAGAACAGAAAGCTGTTGGCAGCTGCAGCTGCAGTTGCGTGAGGCCAGGCTGGCCATGCTGAGAATGCCCTGGGGTGTGAGGGGACAGGTAAGTGCAGGCTGGGTAGCCCTGGGAGGGGGTGGTTGTCATGGCTCTTTGAAGTGACACAGGGAGGATGTGAGGACTTCAGTAAGTATTCACTCTGCTCATGACAACACAGGTGGCTGGTAACCTTAGGCCTGGGGATAAGATCTGCCTGTTGGGGGAAGTGAGTCCTTCTGGCTTGCCTTGAGCTACCCTGAAACAAAGGGCTCTCTGTCATTTTTTTAGTCAATTATAAATAATCAGCCACCTCTTGGTAGAAATCCTTGAACTGGGGCTCAAAGTTTTAATGGAGGTGAAGTAATGGGGGGAATGTGGTGGAACCCCAATGTGTTCAGAAGTCCTGGGTGAGAACCAGACTCTGTGCCTGCTAGTGTGCACACCCCAGGTTGCGTTTTGTGGGGATGACCTAACCTGTGGCAGGTGAGGCGCTCTCCCCTGGTCCTGAGCCGAGGACAGAGCTTCCCATACCTCCCTCAGCAGAGTTCAGGGTGGTCTGTGACACCTCACCTGATGTAATCTGGGATTGCTTTGATGCGATAACAAATCTGATTTGAAATGAAGTCTAGAAACCTAGGTTATTTATTGTTTCTGGTTTCTCACAGGAAGGAATAAACTGAGAGGTACCAGAGTCCTGTACGGCTCATGCTTGCATCAGGCTGTCTGCTAGTCACCCGCACACTTTGAATAATTTACCTGGAGTTGAGGTTCCTCTGTTTCCTGCTGGCAGCTCCAGTAGAGCTATCTTCTGGCTGCTTGCTGCGCAGGTTCACATGGCAGCAGTCCGAGACGGACCCCTCTGTCTGACGTGCTGTGGCCCAAACTCTGTTAATCGGCACCCGCCACATCCAAAACAATGCGACAGTTTAACTTACAATGACTTTGAGAAGTTGAAAATTTTCTACCATTTATATTCAGTATGAATGCTAAAACAACAAAATATTTACTCAGTATAAGTTGGGTGTCATGTCATTCACTAAATTTTTATTTTTTTTAAATTTTGTTAAATTTTTATTCATCTTTTTAAAAAAATAATTTTATTTAGTTATTTTTCAAGTACATACAGTTTTTTGTCTATTTCTCCCATCCCAGCCCCCCCCACCCTGTGCTCCCACCTCCCTCCCATTTCCACCCCCCTTAGTTCTCATCCCTGTGTCCTTCCTATTTGTTCCTCCAAATCCCTCCCCCTTTTTCCCCTTAAATTCCCTTCCCTCTTCCCTCTGGCCATTGTCCCCTTGTCCTCTATTTCAGTGTCTTGGTTTTTATTCTGCTTGCTTGTTTGTTTTGTTGTTTAGCTTCCTGTTAAAGGTGAGATCATATGGTATTTGTCTTTCAACTCCTGGCCTATTTCACTCAGCATAATGCTTTCCAGTTCCATCCATGTTGTTGCAAAGGGTAGTAGCTCCTTCTTTCTCTCTGCTGCATAGAATTCCATTGTGTATATGTACCACAATTTTTTGATCCATTCATTTACTGACGGGCACCTAGGTTGCTTCCAACTCTTGGCTATTGTAAATTGTGCTGCTATGAACATTGTGGTGCATAGGTTCTTTGAAATTGATGTTTTAGGATTCTTAGGATATAATCCTAGCAGTGGAATTGCTGGGTCAAAAGGCAGGTTGATTTTTATTTTTCTGAGAAAATTCCATACTGTTTTCCATAATGGTTGTATCAGTCTGCAATCCCACCAACAGTGAACTAAGGACCCCTTTTCCCCACAACCTCTCCAATGTTTGCTGTTAGTTGCTTTGTTTATGATAGCCATCCTGACTGGTGTAAAGTGATATCTCATTGTGGTTTTAATTTGCATCTCTCTGATAGCTAATGATATTGAGCATCTCTTCATGTGTCTCTGGATATTCTGTATGTCCTCCTTGGAGAGGTGTCTGTTCAAGTCCTTTGCACATTTTTTAATTGGGTTCAATGTCTTCCTAGAGTGGAGTCGTGTAAGTACCCCAAATAGCAGCTGCACTTTTGAGAAAGAAGAACAAAGTAGGAGGGATCACAATACCTGATATCAAACTGTATTATAAGGCCACTGTAATCAAAACAGCTTGATACTGGCATAAAAACAGGCACATAAACCAATGGAACAGAACAGAGAGCCCAGAAACCAACCCAACCCTCTACGGTCAATTAATATTCGACAAAGGGAGCAATAATATAAAATGGAGTAAAGATAGCCTCTTCGACAAATGGTGTTGGGAGAACTGGACAGCTACATGCAAAAAAATGAAACTTGAGCACCAACTTACACCATACACCAAAATAAATTCAAGGTGGATAAAAGACTTAAATATAAGCCGCGACACCATTAAAGTCCTAGAGGAGAACATCGGCAAGAAAATCTCAGATATTTCACGCAGCAACATTTTTACCGATATGTCCCCTAGAGCAAGGAATATAAAGGAAAGAATAAACAAATGGGATCTCATCAAAATAAAAAGCTTCTGTGTGGCTGAAGAAAACAGTATTAAATTAAAAAGACAACCAACTGTATGGGAAAACATATTTGCCAATGATACCTCAGACAAAGGTTTAATCTCCAAAACATACAAAAAACTAAATTTTTACTTTTAAAAAATGATTGCATTAAAAAAACAGGAAAGAAATGATTACACTCCAGATCTGATGCTTTCTCCTGGCCATAATTTTTGTTTAAAGATAATGCTTTATTCTACAAGTGTGCTGGGTAACATAAGGGTTATCCTAACAAAAATGAGAACACTTATTGTGGTAGATAACACAAAACCTTCTCCCAACACTAGAAATATCTTACTGACTTCATTGCAACTCAAAATGCAGAAGTGAAAAATGAATGCAGACTTTTGAATCTATTTGTTTAATGTTTAAACCAACTAAGAAAAAAACAATGCCAGAAATGGCTATACTGTTTGAATTAATGAGTTTTAGAAATGTCTGCAGAACACATTTCCTGCTACTGAGATTCTAGAAGGCTCCATGCAGGTATATGTATTATGCGTTGGGCAGGAGGCAGATCAGCCTACGTTCTACAAAAGTGCAAATGTGCCCTCTTAGGCCATGGTCTGGCTCTGTTAGTCTGAGCTCCAGAAAGAAGAAAAAAAAACTTGGGCAATCAAAGAGGTACAAAGCTGTACACTAAATGAGCTACAAATTGCATTTAGCAAATTCAGATTCATTTTGAGGCCTAAGAATGGTTCCTCCCAATAGCAGAGATGCAGGTAAGGTGATTGCATGAAGGCTGGAAAAGATGGGGGTCCGGTCTCCAGGAGGGCTCAGGAAACCAGGCTTGTCAGCCTTCCCCTTGGAGAGAAAATTGTGAGCAGGACACAGGAACTGTTCTCCTGGGCTGTCTATCAAAACAGCTTTAGAAATATATTATGGTCCCCATAGTGTAAATTGACCAATTTAATGGAAATTAAGCTTTGCTCCGAAGAACAGATTTATTTCCCAGACGTGTGTTTTGAGAGTATTCCCCAGAGGAGTTCCTTCAGATTCTCCTTGTTAATGAGTAGGCTTTCCTTCAGCTCCACAGTTCTTCTAAAACACATCATTAAACCTGGTTCACTGCTGTGCTGCAAGCTGGAGGAGTGATTGCTTCCATCTGTCTTTTTTTTAAAGTATATTTTATTGATTATGCTATTACAGTTGTCTCAATTTTTCCCCCTTTGCCCCCACCTCTGCCCAGTACACCTCCCTTCCCTCCAGCATTTCTCCTCCCCTTAGTTCTTGTTCATGGGTCATGCATATAAGTTCTTTGGCTTCTCCATTTCCTATCCTATTCCTAACCTCCCCCTGTCTATTATGTACCTACCTATTAGCCTTCTTATTCCCTGTACCTTTTCTCCCATTCTTCCCCTTCCCCTTCTCAGCTGATAACCCTCCAAATGATCTTCATATCTATGATTCTTTTCCTGTTCTGGTTGTTTGCTCATTTATTTTTTGCTTGTTTGTTTTGTTTTGTTTTTAGATTCAGTTGATAGTTGTGAATTTGTTATCATTTTATTATTCATAGTTTTGACCTTCTTTTTTTTCTTAAATAAGTTCCTTTAACATTTCATGTAATAATGGCTTGGTGGCGATGAACTCCTTTAGCTTTACCTTATCTGAGAATCACCTTATCTGCCCTTCTATTCTAAATGATAGCTTTGCTGGACAGCATGATCTAGGTTGTAGATCTTTGCTTTTCATCACTTTGAATACTTCTTGCAAGTCCTTTCTGGCCTGCAAAGTTTCTTTTGAGAAATCAGCTGACAGTCTTATGGGAACTCCTTTGTAGGTAACTCTCTGTTTTTCTCTTGCTGCTTTTAAGATTATCTCTTTATATTTAACCTTTGGCATTTTATTATTATTTCACTTGGTCTGAGCCTCTTTGGGTCCTACTTGTTTGGGACTCTCTGTGCTTCTTGGACTTGTACATCTATTTCCTTTGTCAAAATTAGGGAAGTTTTCTTTTATTATTTTTTCAAATAAATTTTCAACTTCTTGCTCTTCCTTTCCTCCTTTTGATAGCCCTATTATTCAGATATTGGCACATTTGGAGATGTCCCAGAGACTTTTTATATGACCCTTGTTTTTCTGAATTCTTGTTTCCTCTTTCTGTCCTGGTTGAATGCTTATTTCTTCCTTATGTTCCAAATCATTGATCTGAATCCCAACTTCCTTCCCTTCACTGTTGGTTTCCTGTGGATTTTTTAAAATTTTACTTAATGTAGCCTTTATTTCTTCCCTTATGCTTTTACCATACTCTATGAGTTCTCTGAGCATCCTGATCACCAGTGTTTTGAACTCTGCATCTGATAGGTTGGCTATCTCCATTTTGTCTAGTTGTTTTTCATTTCAGCCATATTTCCTTGTCTTCTCAATTTCACAGCTTTCCTGTGTTTGTTTCTGTGTATTAGGTAGAGCTGCTTTGACTCTCTTAGTGCACCTGTTAAGTCGTATGGGGCAGAGCCATAGGTATTTTCCAGGGCAGGGCAACCCGCTTCACCACTTTGTGGTTTGGTTTGGGGGAGGGTTTGAAGAGGGGGCAATGCTACTGCCTGGCTTCTGGAGATTTACCTGGTACTCACCACATTTCCAGTCACTTCACCTACTTCCCATATGCACCTGTTGCTGTCCCAGCTGCTGCCCTGGTGGCGAATCCCAGCACGGGTGGGTTTGCATATGTTCTAAGTCCACGTAGGCCCTTTAAGTGAAGTCTTTTGCAAAACTAGAAGTTTCTTCCACAACCCCAACTCCCACTGGTTTTTATAGCCAGAAGTTTTGGGGATTTATCTCCCAAAAGTAGAACCCTGGGATGTGTGGTCTGGCCTGGGGCTGGGATTGTTCACTCCCCAAGTACCCCTCCTAATTTTTATCCACCACGTGTGAATGTGGGACTGTCTTTTCTGCCACAGCCACCGCCTCTCTTCTCCACCCTGACTCAGCATCTTCTCCACTTCTGGATGAATGTGGCTTCTTTAAATCCTTGGTTGTCAGACTGCCATATGGTTCAATTTTCTGTTGTGGGTGTTATTTGTCTTGAGGTATGGTTGTAGTTATTCTTGTGGCTGCTTGAGGAGGTGAAGCATGTCTACCTACACCTACATCTTGACCAGAAGCCCTTCTGTCTGTCTTTCAAAGATGGGCCAGACACCTGGGTTCTAGCCCCACAGTTTTAGATTCAGTAGGTTGGAGATACCCAGGAATATGCATTTCTCTCAAGCTTCTGGGGGATGCTACCTGCTGGCCTGCAGACCGCATTTTAAGTAGATGAGTAGAGACTATTTTGAGACCTATTTCCCATAGGTCTCATAATCGATTTCTTATAAGTTGCCTTCTTCAGCTCTCTGATTATGCTCCTAAGGTATTGCTTTAGAAGCCTAAATAAAGGTAAAACAGAGAAATTCCAGCTTTCCCTTCCAAAGTTAGAGCAAGCTTCAAATTACTATTAATTGCTGTTTCCTATTCTGAGTGCCTGCAGGGGGCGCCATTTCTATTCCAGTCTTAGTGCATGGAATTTTTTTTCCCTCCCTTCCCCCACCCCCACCACAATTATGCACCTATGCAGGTGTGTGGCTGAGGACAGCAGATTAATCAATTATAGGTTGGATAGTGGTTGCTATGCACAGCAGACTATATTGAGAATAAACTTGAGGCTATCTTCAGTTTTGCAGTGCCTATGTGTACATGGTTTCAATGAATTCCCACATCCCTGCAAGACAGGTAAGGGAGACATTATTATCTTTGTTCTTCAGAGGAGAAAACTGGTATGGAGGGGTTGACTGCCCCAAGGTCACACAGCCAGTTTGCGTCATAACATAAACTAAAATGTTCAGATCTTTCCTAAATATATGAGGCTGTGGAATAAATAAAAACAGCAATTTAGAAACTTAAATTTATTTTGATGTTTGATATTAATCATCTACTGTTGGGCTGAATGTGAATCCAACTTCATAATTCCAGAAAGTTTTTCTGTGATTCCATTACAATTTGCCTCAACACATTAAGATTCTGGATACCAGAGAAGGAAAACAAGTTCACAGATTTTACAGTAACATTTCATTTAGGGATAAGGACCCTCCTTAGGGCTATATATTTAAAACATGTAAGCCTCTGGCCCTTACCAAAATGATTTGAACATATTTTGGGATTCGAATTTTCATGCAATGAAAGCCAAGTGAGATTGTTGTAATAGTTCCAAAAAATTAAATCTACTTACATCTGCTGTTCCAGTAACAGTTACCAACATGATGATAATTATCCCAAAGCTCATTAAGAAAAAAAAAATTCATCACTGTCCTATTTTGTTTCCTTGAAGTGGCTGGCTCATTATGTTCTGAGTAGAGCAAAATACATCAACATTTTATATGGCATACCTTTGGATTTAGTTGATTGCTTGCTATAAAAGGATTTGAGTCAAAGCCAATTTGCCATTCACAGCCACAGGGTCTCTGGAGATTTTGCAGAAAAGCTCTTTGTTCAACTGAACTCGCATAAAATAATGTTCCTTCATATTCCTCCACGCCTTTGTCTATCAAGTGTCAGTGGTTGAGTCTTCCAAGAAGCCCAGGGATTGGACATTGAAGACACCCAAAAATTCTTGAACTGAACCCAGACTGAGAAGTACACCTTGTGATTTCTTTCAATTATTATTTTTAAGTTGCAAACACACACATGGTAAAACCATTCAAACCATACCGAGAGTAAACAGTGAAGAGCAAATGTCCCTCCCACCCCAGTCTCTGTGTCCCCCAGTCCCTGTCCTTGGGGCAACAGCCATCCTGGTCTCCTTGCATGCACTTCAGAGCTAATCTGCGCATGTTCAGGTGCCGAGTGTGCAATGTCTCCTGTGTCCTGTCAGAAAGGCAACAACTGAAGACTTTGTGTTTGTGCTGACTTTTTAGATGATCAGGGTCCCTACTGTTCTGTCTGAATTCCTGACCACCTGTCTCAAACACACAAAAATCAGATTTAGAAGGGTAGGTCATAATTTTAAAAACGAGTTAATTTTGTTGGGAAGATCCTGATGGGTTTGAAAAAGATGTTTGGAAATGTACTCAGCAGCTACAGGGAACAGGGAAGGCAGGACAGTGGAAACTATTTCAATGGGAATTTTATTTAAGAGTAAAACCTCCAGAACTTTGGTCTAAAGTTTCACTTGGCTTTTCTCTGAAGACCACACTGGACCAGGCCTACCTCTAAGCAACAGGAAAAAAAGGTAAACTTAGTATCATTTAATAATCAAAAGTATAATTCCAGCTCCAGAACTTACTAGCTTTGTGGCCTTGAGCAATTTGTTTATCCTTTCAGAGTCTCAGTATCAATAAAATGAGGGTAATGGTACATATCTCATAGAATCGAGATGTGGATTTGCACACAAAATGCAGCTGTTATTACTCTTCAATATCATCTGTGCTTAGGGAAGAGTTGAGGTCTATCAAATGTATTTGCATTTTCATTTGCTAGTCAATTGTATACAAAATCATAAACATGAAAGTGTTTTGAAACTATAAAAAGGCTAGCTAAATGGAAAGTATTTTTATTTATCTGAGCATTAATAAACTAGTATTTTCTGATGTAATGTTCTGGTTTTAAAATCATTATTGTCCCTTTCAGGGGACAGTCATTGTGAGTTTCTTCATCTTTCTCCCCGTACAGCTGATGCATCATGGCCAGTTCCAGATGCAGGCAACAGGGGCTGGATGCTCCCCAACGTGGCCAACCGAGCTCCTGCACGTGTGGGTGCGTCAGAATCCCTGCCACGTCAGATTCTCAGGTGAAAGACTTAGATGCATTGTTTTCCTGCACTGTGAGGACTAATAGTGATCATCTATTCCTGCTACTGTAACTTTAATTCTAACATGTTTATGTATTTTTTCCAGGCCTCTAACCCTGGGCAATTTGAAAATGACAGTGATGCATTATGGCAGCAAGGACAAGTTCCAGAATCTGTTGTCTGTCATGGTCGAGTGGGAATAAACACAGATGCCCCAGACGAAGCCCTGGTAGTCTGTGGCAACCTGAAAGTGATGGGGACAATTATGCATCCCTCTGACAGCTGGGCAAAGCAGAATATCCAGGAGGTGAGCACAGGGCAGGCTTGGACCCCTCCTCCGACACCTGAGTCAGGTGCGCTGGGCACTCCTGGCGTCTGGTACGCCTCGCCTGGGGGCATGTCTACACGTCACCTGTGGAGTGTGGCTGCTTGGTGACTGACTGTTGGAGCCGTGAGGCACCTCTGCTGGGCTGGGAAGCGGTTCCTACCTGAGAGAACCACTCACCTGACAGGAGCACTGGTTGATGATGGCACAGCGCGGGCTTCGCCAGCAGCCGCCCTCTGGGGTATTTTCCACGGGCCACTGTCCCTCCCTCCACGCAGGTCCACTGCTGGAGGTTGCCTTTTCCTTTTCATCTCCAAGTTTCCATTTCCCTGTTCATCTTCCAAACACTGTCTCACCCCAGTTCTTGCGAACACTCCCCCTGGACCCTTCCAGCTGCTTCATCCCGGAGTCCAGGCCCCGGCCCTGCCAGCCATGGTTGGCCCCACTCATCATCTTCCTTGGAGGAGCAGTCGGAGAAGCTCCACCTGCTTGGCGCCCCCTCAGTCAGTCCCACCGCCCAAGGTGGAGAGGCAGCTGCCTTGTGGAAATCAGAAATCAGGCGTAGAAGTCAGGGGGCTGCTGGTCCACTTGGGCCTCCCCTGAGCAGTGTGAACCTGGACAAAACGCTTGGCCTCAAGACTCAGTGTCTTCGTCTATGAGGTGGAAATGGTGCCTCTGCCTGACCCACTGAGTTCTTTCTAGTTTTCACCTATTGAGATAAGTACTGAATTGTCTGGGAAAGTCACAACACCTATGAAGACCTAAGGGACTAGATTAAGATGCTCGCTTACTCCTGGGTCCAGCTCTTCCACCATCTGATTCTGTTTTCCCCTCACTGCTTCTGCCGCCACGCCCCCACCTTCTCACTTCCACTGTCTCTCCTGGGAGCGTTCCTGAGCCCGTGGCAGAACGGTGTTTTTAAGCCTCCTGGCCGTATTCTTTTTTAGTTAATAGGAGACAATCTGTAAATCGCTGGCCATTCTTCCAGACTGCATTCCTTTTACTGTGCAAATCAGCCCTGGTTTTTCTAAACCAGCCAAGGAATGTCCTCCTTTGCTGAGAGGATTCCAGAGAATGGCTGTAATTGTAGACTTTCATGCTGATTGTGAAGCTGCAGGTCACATTAGAGGAGCTGTGACCTTCTAGCCAGATGGGAACCCTTAGGGCTAGAAAGTTCTCACATACATTTTCAGATTCCAGTCCTAGATACCAAGCCTTTGCATTTTAGACACAGAGACACTGTCTGTGTTTCAATCACACCAACTTCAGCCTATCCTTGCAACTGGCTACACAAATCCCGAGCAGGGCTTTTCTAAATGTAGGTGCAAGACGACAGGTGGGGACAGTCCTCCATGACCCCTCCTGCTGCCACCGGGCTATCCGCAGAACTTTACTTACCTAACATCTTCAAATGGTGCTCCTTGGTTTGACAAATATCTATACATAGTCTTAAAATAGCAAACTTCCCCAGAGCCTCTGAAATCCCTTCTAGGAAGTGGTCTCCATAAAGTGAAATGCCGTTCCAGTGCAGGCTCCAAATGCGAGATTCCCGTGTCCCCCTCCTGCTCATGGCAGCAAGCACGACGGGACAGGGAGAAGCCCGGCTCTGGTGGAAGGCTAGAGTTTTCATCTTTGGCAACCACTGACCCAGGAAATCTGGCCCAGAGACATTCTATGCTCTGTTTATTCTCCTGTGAACAGGGAATGCTTACATGCATTTTACCCATGGGCTTTTTCTGGCCATATGAAGCAATTTTTAGCTGTATGGGGCTAAGCAAATAGATATTATTATTATTTACTTGTAAAAGATACAAATGATCATTTTGCCATGTGTAATATGTACTCTTGCTCACATTTTTGAGGGGAAAATAAGTATGTGTATTATATATGGGTAGTACTAATTCCATATGTATATACATATTTTAAATTCTTTGATTTATGCTTCTACATTAAAAGTATAACCCTAGAAAGCAATAATGATATCCATATGCAAAATAATACCCTGGAATATGATAATCAGTTTTATTTCAAAACATGAATAAATAAAAGATGGAATTAAAAAATTGAAATGAAAGATTTTTTCTGAAAGTCTGGACCAAAAATGTGGGTGCATATTATACACGGAGCACATTGTACATAGCAGAATATGGTATAATGGTATTCATTTATTAAATAATTTTATATTAATGTATTCATGCTTAATAGCTCTGTCCACATTTATAAAATATGTGTTTTAGAAGCTTTGTCCTATTGGCCACTTATTACAGATAAGAGAGAGGATGGTGGTGTTGATGAGGGTGCCGACAGGTGTGTGGACCTCCTCTGCGCCTCTCTGATTGTCCAACTTATACAAAGAGGTCCCTTCTTCCCAGTGCGCTGTGAAGCGGCCCTGGCTGATCTGATCGCATGCACAGCGCTGGAGGTATGCATCCATCATTCTTTTTTGTTTTGTTTTTGTTTCTTTGTCTTTCCAAAAGCACTGCTTTAATTTTTATAGAATCCTAACCACTTTGGTGGAAGGAGGAGTGGGAGAGGTTCCTTCTCCAGTCCAGGGGCCTCCGCAATGTCGGTCTGTTGTCACCAAACACACAGGCAGGTGGCGTTGCGGGTTTGGTGAACTGACTAAAATGCTCAGTCTCTCTCTGCTCGTGCAACAAGTCGAGCGTCCACCTCTGCTTCCATAAGAACCCTGAATTTAGGATTTTCAACTGTAACTGCTCCAACTTCCATTTCTGCCGATTTGAAATCAGTTGACAGGACAGTAGACGGGCATGTAATTGCAGTTTCCAGTGTCTGTTCCAATGTCCAATCAAATTTCTTCACTTCTTTTCAAGAAAGCTGGTTGACTGGTTTGTTTTACTCCTGCTGCAGTGGCTTTAGACCTGAAGCAGAAACCTGCAGGATCTCACCTGTGCACCTGAGGGCCTTGTTCTTCATCTGTACCAATTAAGATCATGCAACAACCGAGAGGCCTCATTTCAGCATCCCGTGTGTAGACCCCAGAAATACCAGCAATTCTTTTACACAGCATGTCCACGGGAATCTCATAGCCATGCTTGTATTTCCAATTAGCTGCCTCATAGTGGGCCCTCTGTACCTGGGATCTGCTGTCAGCTGTCATTCCTGTCACCACACAGCCAGTGTATTCTGTTATCTTGAATAAGTGAGTCACTGTGCTAGAATCCTGTGTGACAACTACTGCACAGTCTTCCCCTCTGACAGCTGATGTAAGGCCACTCTGGTTAATAGCCTTAAAGGCGTATTCTACTTGGTAGAGCCTGCCTTCAGGTGGAAAAATGGTGATGTGGTGGTCACAACCAAGGCTGGAACCATGGGACATGTTGGTATACCCTCTACTTCAAGAACAGTATCTGGGCCCCATAGCTGCCCCACCAGGCATACCAGCCCCTCCAGAAGTTTCAGCGACAGCTGCATCCTTCGTTCTTTAAGGTTGCACGGTGGCCAGAGCTGGCTGCTGCCTGCGTTGTTGCAAAACATAGTGGCCAAACATGTCACTGAATACTGTGACAGGGAAAACGAATACAGGTTGCTGCCTTGCCTTGGTTCTGTGTCTCCTCCCTGCAACATAGGGCAACACAGGTTCCTTTGCAGATGATAAACACACGAGCCCTCTGCATAGAGTCCTGGTGGAGATTGCTGGTGCTCCTCTGGGCGCATAGCCAAGACGCTAGGAAGATAAAGCAGGTACCATGGAAACCTGTGGAAGTGAAACACTGGGCAAATGAGGTCGGCCTAAGAGGAGCAGCTTGAGTCACCCAGCCAGTGTTGCTGAGCTTACTGGTGTGGCTGCAGACTGGAGGAGGGAACGCAGCTCTTACCATAGAAACCAAACAAAATTAGGGCAGAAGGGGTACACTGCAAACGAAAGGGGCATGAAGAGCATCAATGTCGATGCCCCCCCCAAAAAATAGGAAGTTGAAAGTTGAAGACAGTGAAGTCTGGAAACAGGCAGGAAAAGACCCCAAAAATAAAAGCTGGGAAAAAAATCAATTAAGATGAAATGCTCAACTATTTTTTCCCTCGACCACACCAGCAGTGAGCTAGTCAAAGACAAGAGTGTGAGGAGCTGGAGAAAGTCAAACATGCCATCTGCCCTCAAGGCCAGATGCAGAAGGTCCTCAGCTGTGGGCGAACCAGTGGCTGACCTTCCTGGCTGTGGGCCAGGGCCGGATGACGTGTAATGAAGGCTCTTTCCCTGAACTAACTGGACTCCACAGACTGGAATGTCCTCTTTGTGGTACAACTCTTTTTTTAATGTTTATTTATTGATTTTGGAGGGAGAGAGAGAGAGAGGCATTCATAGGTTGAGTCTTGTATGTGCCCTGACTGGAAATCGAACCTGCAGCCTTGGTGTTGGATGACACTCTAACCAGACGGGCTGCCTGGCCAGGGCCTGTGGTGCAGTTCTTGGGTTAATGATACGGAAGAGCCTTGGGCATGAAGCAGCATGACAGCAAAGGCCATTTGTGTTTATGGTCAAAACTTTCCAAAACTGCTGTGGGCAAGATCAAATCAGACACTATAATTTTAGTTTATAGCTTCTTGCTCAACACACATGATGAGCAAGGCGTGGCATTAAGTGCAGGTCTGTGTACGGTTCCTGGAGGAGGGTTCCACCGCAGCTCAGCCCTTGCCCCAGGGGTTTTCTCTCAGCCAAGTGCACACCTAGGGAACGTGCAACACAGGAGGTTTATATTTAGCTTTGGAAAGCCTACAAGCCAGACACCAGGAGAGCGTTTTTCTTACAGAAACATTATTATAGGTCTTCAGATCTCCAAGCCAACCCTCAAAATTTTCTTTGGGCAAAAATCTGTCTGAAATACAATAGTAATATTACCAGAGAACCTAATTGCTATGTTTAGCAATATGTCTTTGGGAAAAATGCATCCAAGGATCCAGCTTAGACACCAGGGGTCATTTTCCCTCTATGTGGCCTGAATGAGGGCCCATCCTTCTCTGCTTTTCATCTGCAGCAAAGAAACTGATGCTGCCTCATCTTTGAACTCCACTGGGCGCTCATGCAAGAGCCATTGGGATGATGAAAATTAGGCAAGGCAGCATGGGACTCCCAAGGGTATGGGAGAGGGAAACCGGGTAGGGCCTGGCCACCATGAAGCCAGTCCAGGCTGGCTCCTGCTCCACCCCCGTCTTCAGTTCTGTTAGTGTCCGGGATCGTTCTGCCATGTCACCACCTCCATGCTTTTATTCCTTCTTTTCTGCCATGAGGTTCTGGGTGCCTGTTATATCAGGCACTTTGCTAGGCACTGTGTAGTTCCTGAAATAAACAAGACATAGGCCTTACCCTAAGGAATAGAACTTTTATTAAGATTTGAACCCCAGCTGAGAAACACTCATTTATCTCCACTGCCTGGAATAGCATCTGGCACATAGTAACTACTGACTGAATATTTGTTGAATGAATGAAGGAGCTCACAGTTACGTGAGATGGTGACCATTCTTTCCCAGCATGGCTCTCCCTGCTCTGACCTTGTCTTTATAGTCTAGTAATGTCAAGTTCTGCAGACATCACTCAGGGGATTTGCTGCCTTGAGACTTGGGTCATGGCGTTCTTCCTGCCCAGCAACCCTGGCTTAGTCTCGCCCTTCCCAGCCCTCCCCATATCTTTCCACAAATAACTCCTATCTTAAAGTTATTAACTTACTTAACAGATATTAGCTGAGCTCCCATTGCTTGGGAGGAACTGTCCTAGAAACTGGTGATTCGGTGAGGAACAGAAAACCACGGCTTTGTATGTCCCCCCACCCTCAGGAGTATAACCTGTCAGGAAGATGGAAAACAGGGTGACGCAGCCAGCTGTCTGGCGAGAACATGATTAGTGCTGTGAAGGGAAGGAACAGGCGCCATGAGCACAGAAGCTGAGGGACCCTTCCTAGTCTCGGAAGTTAAGACCTGCTTCTCTGGTGAAGGGATGATTAAATTTGGGGACGGGAAGGTGTAGTGGGAAGGGATTGCTTTTGAGGCAGAGAAAGTGCTATGAGCAAAGGCCCTGAAGTAGAAGGAGCAGAACATGCCGGAGAAGGAAAGCAAGCCGAGATCTGGGCGGGGCTCCACCATCTCAAGGAAGCCCTCTTCCTTTTCGGTCCGAGAACACTTTGGACACTTGCTTGGAGCGGCCATGATTTTCTCTTCCTAATTCCATCATCACCCTGCATATCATGTTGTCATATACTTCGTACATGATGAGTCTGCCTTCCTGTGTAGACCACAGACCTTTAAACAGCCACCATTTTTTAAATTTTACTTTTCAATTATGGCTTACATTCAATATTATTTCGTATTAGTTTCAGGTGAAAAAGCAATCATTTCTGAAGTCCCAGCACTTGGTGTAGTGTGAAGTATGTTGAAGGTGACTGATAAATGTCAGTCATATAAAACAATGAATTCATGTATTGAACCAAGCTTTTGATAAGAGCAGGTATTAAACGACAGTGAGCCCCAAATGATACCGCCTGGAAAATACCTGAAGTAAAGCTTGCCCCATTAGTCAGTTAAATTCCAAGCCACGGCTTTCACAATCAGCCAAACTAGGGAAGGGCAATAGCCCATTACGGTGCCGGAGGAGCTTTCCTGCTCGCCTGCCAGAGTAGGTCTGGAGTTGTTGAGGGTCACACAGGGATTTTCTTAAAGCAGCAGCAGCAGCAGCAGCAGCAGCAGCAAGGCATCTTCGGTTGCTCTTACACATGGAGGAGTGTCCAGACTGTATAATTTTAACGGCCCCTGGTTTCATAACCCAGTGATGTTCCAAAAGAAAATTTAGGGGACTCACACAGGGCTGCCAACTTTTTACTTGAGTAAGGTCATATAAATAAAATCAGTCTTGTTAAAAAAACCCTCAAAAGGGAGGACTTTGAATCAAGCACATTTAGCTTTAGGAAAAAATTTATTGCATTGGTCTTGATTGGTATCGTTTTGCGGGGACCCAGTGAACTTTTTCTGAGGAGTTTGCAGTGACAGTTGGGAACACCTTGAATGACCTGCTGGAGCAGTGAGCTCAGGAAGCACTGTGGCTGGCAGGGTGGTCTGGGAGAGGCCGCCCCCACAACGGGAAGGTCTGGGTCTGGAGGGTCCAGCGGGTGGGCAACCTGGACCTGCTCTCTGCCGCATGATGAAACTTGCTCTAGCAAAATGGTCAGAAGCAGTTCAGTGATATAAAGCACGCCTCTACCTCAAAGCCTGTTATTTGAACTCAACATTGCATTTTCAACTTCTAAATACAAGGCTGACCTGCATTTGTTCGGTCTTTATGCTGTGTGTTCACTTGGAAATGACACCTCTCAATCCTTCAGCAATTGTTTCTCTCCAAGGTGAGCAACCTCAGTTCTCAGAAGCAGAGTTCACCTCTCAGAGGAAGGAAAGAAGGCGAGACCAGTAGCTGAGGGAGTTTTTGTCTGGGAATTTAGACACAGAGACCGGCTCAGTGGGTAGATGGCATTAACACGAACACTGAAACTTTGGCTTCTCTAAGGAGAAAAATATATATTTCCCTTAAAATAGTTTGAGCAACAGGAAAAGACAATCCCATTTTCAACATGTCTAATCTCTCTGGGCCACTGTGGGCATTGGTTTGAATAGCAAATATCTAAACGGGTGAAATCTGCTCTTCTTTAATTCAACTAGGTTGACGCAAATGAACAGCTGAGGAGAACAGTCCAAATGAGGATCGTCGAATATGACGACAAACCTGAGATCACGTAGGCAATGGGCATAAATGCTGCCCATCAGACAGGTACACCCACATGTTCCCTATTTAGTTTTGTATTGTCACCCATTAAAATTTAATTCTGAGTTCTTTACCTGGAGGTTGTGTGCTGTGGCATTGGACAACATTCTGTTGGTCTCACTAGTCCCCTGTGAAACCCATCATCACTAGAGCAATAAACCTTAAAGAAATGCCTGCCATTTTACTCAACACCCCATCCCCTTCCTGCATCCCGAGGTACTGGTGGAGTTTGGGGAGCATATTGCTTCTTTTCACCGGAGTCCCATTGCTCATGGGATAGGGCCCAGGGGGCAGAGGGCAGCTCACACTGTTCCAGGTGCGCCTTTGGGTAATCCAGGGACGAAGAGGGACAATGGCAGGCCTAGGCCAGATTAGGGCCAAAGTGGTGTTTATACACCGATCTGGGAATCCTAAAGAAAGGGGACCCAATTAGGGGGCAAAGTCCTCCTGCAGGAAAAGAAAAAAAAAAAACCCAAGCTAATGTCCCACCCTTGCTGCTGTGCACAGGAATGCTAAGGTATTTACTCTCCCCTTCCAACATTTGGCCCAGAGTCTCAAGGAAAAGTAAACGGTGCTCCCACTTTAATCCTGTAGTGAGTGGTTCAGGGCTCAAAATTCCTTCTCTGCTTCAAATGCCTGCAGATCAAAGCAAAGGCTGAGAAGGGATAAGCATCGCTTTGCAAGGACTTGCGTGTGGCCTGTGGCTGTCAAGTTCCTTTGTGATGTAGGCCTGGGAAGATTTTCCATAGAAAGGTCTTTTCCTGACCCAACCCGTGGGGATGTTTTTTTGTCTAGGAATGATTGCCCAGGACGTGTGAGAGATCTCAGAGCCATGAGAGAGGTGGGTGATGTCACCTGCAAAAATGGAGAGATGCTGCAGAACTTCCTCATGGTCAGTAAGGTGACCCCAGAATACATACCGGCCTGTAGAGCCATAACCCTGTGTGAACCCCCTTCTGTGACATCACAGTGTGTTGGGACACTCAACCAGGCATTGGGACAATAAGAATTCTTCACCGACCTGGGAGTAAGTTGGTATTGATGACCCCACACCGGTCACAGGCTCTATAAAGCAGTCCCATAGGGGAAAAGAAATAGGAATATGCAGGGGGTCTGGCAGTCGGAGGCTGCCCCTGGGAAAGTCTCCATAGCAGGAGCACCCTTACCATGACGACTGATCATTATGAGAAATAGCGACAACAAGCTTTGATTAGACTTTGTCTTGAAACATGGAATTAAAATGTATGAAAGTAACTTATCTCACATAGTATCATTTACATCACAGGTGGCAAACACAAGGCCCATGGGCTGAATCCGGCCCTCCACCTTGTTTTATCTGGCCTGGCACCTGGTTTCCACCCGGCGGCAGTGCTGGGGTCTTTACCCCTAGTTAAGGAGTAGTTACATTTCTACATCCTAAAATTACAGTTGGCCCTTTGAAGGCAACTGTGAGGCTGATGTGGCCCCTGGTGAAAATGAGTTTGACACCCCTGATTTACATGGTCATTAAAACAACGTGCTCCTCCTCAGAATGATGGAAGACTGAGGTGCTGCAGCCTGTCAAGGCCTGGCAGGTCCACTCTAGATTCGGGCAGACGGAAGAAAGTGCACGGAGCCGGGGAGGCTGGGCATGCCTTCATTCGTGGGTGGGCGGGCCATGCACACGGCGCGAGCTGCATGTCAGTCTAGCAAGAAGCCCCTACCTGCTTAAGTACTAGAGATAAACAAAGCCAGCTCATGCCCCCAAATTATATAACATAGCATGATTCTGTGCATGCGAGCCCACTTCATGTTAGGGGAACCGTTTATCCGACCCGGTCTCAAGGCTCTGAGAACACTACTTATCAGGCCCCTCCGAGGCTGTGGGAACACTGCTTTGCTTCGTTACCCAGACACCTGGGTGGGGAAGCCAGACTGGCTTCACTTACCCTACGACCAAAGTATTGATTTTCTGGAGCAGTTTTTCAACAAAATTGTATGTTTGACTTTCACAGCACAGTCATAAAGTGGGTCATTTTTACAAAGATATTCATGAGCCTCATCATTTTTTCCCAAGGGCCTGTCTTCATTCTTTGATGTTCGTATCATTCTCTTCTGAAGGAGTGTCCCCATCCTCGTGGACTAGTTCCTCCTCGCTTGTCCAGGGGCCTCAGGCTGCCTTCTCCTCCCTGCCTGACACCTTCTGTGTGATTTGAATAGTTTTCCAAGATCACATCTGTTAATTCTGTGAAATCCCACATGTTTGTGAGCAGTTTCACTCTGCTGCCGATTTGCTTTACATTGCATTTTTATATTTGACGCTGGGAGGGAAGGCTGACTGACTTGGGGGATTTTCTAGTAATCAGAGAGATGTTGGAGCGAGACGAATTTGTCATTTGTCAATTCAGTTTCAAAGGATGTAAGAATCGGTGGGAGATCTTATTAAAATGCAGATTCTGAATCAGCAAAATGGGGTGAGACCTAAATCCTGCATTCCTGACCAGCCTCCCGGTGATGCCGATTTCACCAACCCTGCTGCCTTTCCACGTGAGGCCCTTCCAGCTGCGAGTTCCTTGACAACAAACACTTGGGCGATGGGACGAGGACAGCCGGCTCGGCCTGGGCTGCAAAGCCGACTGGCAGAGGACGGGTTACTTTCTCCTGCTTCCCAGGATCACATCTTTGATAAAAGAAACTTTTTGTCCTCTCTCTCTCAAACTGGGGCTGTCCCTTCACTTGAGAAATTTATTTTTGATAATAAAATACTGAAGTTTTCAAATAATTTACTTAAATATTTTATATTTACTTAAAGTATAAACTGTATTCAGAGGTACTCATATAATAAAGTCACACTCAGTGTCTTACATTTTCACAAGCTCCTGGGGTGAGAGAATAGAGAGTAGGCACAGCTGTCCATCTCAGGATACGGCCCTGAGCGTGTGGCACTAGGCAGCTAAGGTAGGGGCTCACGGGGTTACCTGCTCACGCTGTGGCCCTCCCCTAGAACACAGGAGACAGACTTCTGTGTTTTCGTGTAGGTGCCCTCTGCCCAGGGCCTTATGACTCTCGTTGTTCAGCAAAATAAGTAGTTCTCTCCCTGGCCCAGTATCTTTCCATGCCCGGATGAGTTGAATGGAGGCAGTTTGGATTATTGGCAACAGGAGTTCCGAGGGCCACACCCCACTTACCCCAGGAGGGGCTACAACCCAAGTTCATTTCCAGGGAGGCAAGTGCAGACCCTTGGGAAAGTAGGGTGTGGCATTTTTGTTCCAGGCAGCCAGGTCCATTTCACAGCAGAGGAGCAAATCATGCCAAGGCAGCAGTCAGTGTATAAATAAGTAAAACCAACAGGAGTCCAGAGTGGAAAAGTTGCGATTCTCTTAGTAACAGGACCTCAGAGTGATATGATCTACGGAGACGTCACTAAGGCCACACTCGTCTACAGAATCTGTGACACCGTCTCCCTACTCTCTTCCTCCTCAGGCTGTCTTCTGAGGGTGGCCTTCAACTGTGGTTTCATCCTCAACATCGTGGGATCCCCCTCCTTTACATTCACAAAATATCACCTGTATCCTTTCTCTTTAAGGACACAGGGAAAGTGGTTCCTGTTGTCCCATGTTCTTTGTTAATTGTCAAATAAGCAAGAGGTACAGAGGCTCTTGCTTTCCTGGCTCCCGCCCATCCCCATGGGCAGCGTGGTGGTTTTAATTGTCCCACACGCAGGGACGCAGGGTGTTCGGAGCGTCACTAGGACTTCCTGGGTGTCGTGTTGTAGCGACTGCTGGAGATCAGACAAGATACAGTCTCTCCACTCTACACCACTTCACCTCCGTCTAATGTCCCTTTTTTAATAAAGAAATTTTCCCTGAAGCTAAAATGCAAACTAGAAATGCACATAACAATGTTGAACTCTGTGCTACACGATTGGTACATCACTTCCATGAGTACTTTGCAGCTTTATACCACAACCGGTAAAGGAATGGCTGGACCTTTAAACTCTGTCCATGCAACCAAGCAAGGCTGGAGATTAGTCATGCCAGTCAATGTTGGCGCAAACAACTTTTCTTTGTGCACCAAGACTGGGGATCAAACCTGCAACCCTTTGGCTACAGGATGCTGGTTCAACCAACTGAACCGCACAGGCCAGGGGCCTTTCTCTTCTTAAGAGGAGAGGTGACCTTGCCAGATAAACTTCCCTTATCTGGAGTCCTGTGCTGCTCCTCCTAAGAGCCGAGCAGTGATGGAAGCTCAGTGATAGAAGGTGGAGTAGAGGGACTCAGGGCTGAGCCTGGGGTCAGGGGGCCTCAGGGCAGTAGGGGCCGTCATCCAACCCTGCATGAGGACACGGGGCTTCCTGGCTTGTTTGCCCATCTCTTTACCTGGCAGGTTTACTTATTTGTTTCTGTGATTATATGGGAGCAGGTGGTTACATTTCTTGAGCATTATTATTAGGTGTACCTGGTATAAGAAAAATGTACACAGTAAATGTAAGAACTGCCTTAAACAAATTCATAACTGAGAGTATATAAAGATGAGGTTCATCTTCTGAGTAATTATTCATTGAATGATCTGTATGCATTTTTAAGATTGTATGTTTTAAACCACTCTACCGTAACTCAGTATGTAGCTACTTTTTCCTCATTGATTCTATTTTTCTTCAACTGTAATGTGGCGGGAATCATCATCTGAGTCGTGCAGAGATAAATAACGCTTGGTTCCTGTGTTCGGGTACCTGGCAGATAAGACACGAGGAACAGTGCTCTACATGACAACGCGAGAGCCGCTGTGGGTGCACCAACGAAGGAGCACGATGGTGCAGAGGAAGGAGAGGGGTACCGGGACACCAGGGGTTCGCGGATGGAAAGGAAGTGGGGAGACAGAGAGACAAGTGACGTGAGACCCTGCGGGCCCTGGGGGCTGCCGGTGTGACTGAGGGAGGGAGGGCGCCTGCCACAGGAGGCCTCTCCAGCCTTCCTCATCCACAGGGTCCAATCAGGTGTTGAGAACTGTTGTTCTCACTCTGGCAGTATCTCTTGTTCATCATCTCCCCTCTTTATCCTCTTTATTCTTTCCATTTTATCCCTCTTATAATGACCTAACTGGCCTGCCAGCCACCAAAAGAATTATCTTCGTTTAAAGCAAAACAGAACAGATCCCCGATTGTACAATCTCCCTTCCTCACTTTTGGCTCTTCTTTGGCTAGACTGTTGTCAGCCTCCACGATCTGGATGAAATCTGGTTTTTCTAGCTCATTTCCTAACACCCACACACCCGCCCCTCCACCAGGAACAAACTGAAACCCTTTGGAATGTGATGTATTCGTGATGTTTGCACACACGGACACGGCTCGTTGCTCCCCACTGGCCCGCCGGCCTTTTTTCCTGTCTCTCACACTGGACAGCTTGTTTCTGCCTCTGAGCTGGATTGGTGTGTGTTCTTTGTCTAAAAGGCCGATCAGCTGTATCTCAGCACCAAGGCCTTCCCTGACCACCTTAGCTAAACAGTCTCCACATCACCGGGCTTCACTTTATAACCTTCAGGGCCACTGTGAGGGTGTAGGGGGTGCTTTTAGTAATAGACAAAGATGCTCACTCTGGCTGGTGCAGACCCCATCCACCCCTTGGGCTGCACCTCTGTGCAGAGGGCGCACTGCTAACTCTTGTCCCTAACTGAAATTGTCTTGTTTATTAGCCTGCTTGTTCTTTGCCAATACCCCTAATTAGTTGTATAAGACCAAAAATTTCCTATGCTTTTCAAGCTGTGTCTTCAGTACTTGATGACTTCAGGCTTTAACTCCAGGGCTTAGAATATTGTACAAATTCAATAAATATTGGTCGAATGAATGAATGAATCCTGTGATGCCTGGATTGGTCCTATCTCTACAATGTCTTAGGCCTCTGAATATGCAGTGTCTCCCCTCCA